GGCTTCCTGGTCCAGAGTGGTAGTGTCTGCATCCAATCATCTCTCTGTATGCCCTGCTCTTGCATGAACCACTCAAACGCGGGGATGAAGTCCGACGCATTTCCAATCTCCAGGCGGATCGGCCTGCCATCAGGTCCCACAGGCGAGGGTCGCAACTCCTCCATCCTTATCTACACCTCTTGCCTCGTCGTCGCCTCCCTACGAATCCTGGCAATGGGCTCTTCGAACCTACCTGCTCCCCTCAATCTCCCAATCGCCTGAGTGAAGGTCCAGCCCATACGCCTCGCATGCTCCCAGAAACTGTCCAGGAATAGCTCGATGTCCCCATCATTGTAGACTGAAGTACTCTCTCGTTGGCGATGCCCATGCCGCTCATATCCTCCTGATGCGCCCAACGGTCTCTTAGACGGCCGTGTCCCCTTCCCTCCTCTTGGCATGGCTGTCTTCGTAAAGTCAGACCTGCACAACAGGCGAAGGAGACAACAGGCACACGTTGGGGTAAGCAAGCAGGTGATAATCCGAGCAAGCTCAGACCAGACCACACTTATGCAGCATGGATCCTTCCTAACCTACATACCCTGTTACTTCTTATTCTAGGGGCGGTCAGGTCATCTCTCTTACCTCTTCTCTCGCCACGAATTTCTTCAGTCGCGTTCCAGATACCCAATCCTTCCACTCAGTCCTATTTAACTCCTCGATCTGGTACGCTCCGAAGTTTTCGACCCGTGTAATTCGGTAGGGACCTAACCATCTCTTATCGAGCTTCCTGGACCACTGCTTCTCCAACGACGTATTGTAGAGAAGCACGACATCCCCGATTGCCAAGGGTACTTTCCTCACTCGCGCAGATTGATCCCATCGGGCCTTATCATCCATACGGCTTCTCGCCACCTGATCAGATGCCTCTTCGATCCTTTCTTCTATCGCCCCGACCTGCCGCGCCCGAATATCGAGCAACTCTTCAAATGACAGGTTGACTTCCAGATCCCGGCGCCTCCACGTCTTAAAAAACCTTTCAATAGGGAAGGTGGCATGCCTTCCGTACCACAGCGTTGCAGGTGCGTACTTGGTGGATCTCTTTACTGTAAAGTTCTCGACAAAGAAAGCCGCCCTTAGGTATCTTGGCCATTGATTAGGCCTACCTTCGGTCCATTTGGCCAGGAGGTTCGTAATGGTACTATGTCCTCTCTCTACGGGAGCATTTGCCTGGGGGTGCGCAGCCGTGGTGTAGTTGGTTGCCACACCATATACTGCTAACAGTTCTTGCACCTCCTGAAAGGTAAACTCTGATCCCTTGTCCATTACGAATTCCCTGACGAAAGGATAACGCAGGTAGTACTCCTCGATGCAGCTCACCAAGACTAACCCGGTCTTTGTGCGAATAGCTCGCCCGTCTACGAACCCAGACAAGTTATCGCGCGCATCGAAGATATAGTTATAGCCCTGATCCCCAAGTGGCATAAAAAGCAGATCGAGATGCACTACGGCCCCTACCTCTCGCTCTAACCTTGGATGCAGCGACTCTCCCTGCCTTAAACGGGATCTCTCCTGGCAGGGTACGCAAGATCGATAGAATTTCCCGACCATGTCCATCATTCCATCCCAGTAGTACAGCTCACTTATCTTGGTATACGTGGCTTGTATCCCTCGATGCCCTCCTGCAATGCCATCGTGTAGTGTTGCTACGACGTCGATCTGACGATTCCTACCGCAAACGACCCTCCTGGGATTCCCCACTTCCCTTCTCACGAAAAGGTGACCGTCTCGCACTAAGTAGCGTTGCAGCATCCTTTGAGCCGTATCGCTCGCATCTCTTAGCCGCATTTCACATGACAGAAGAAGCCCCAGCTCTAGGTAGATCCCGTCGTACTCCTCTGCACGAAAAGCCTCCTTAATTTTCCCTTCTTCGAATTCGTCGTCCTGGCTCTCGGGTATTTCGTCCACATTCCCTGCCGAGTTCAACGAGCCCAACTGGTCTAGGCTTTCCTGCAATAACGTATTGACGAGGACATACATTCCTCCCATCAGGTCCTCATGCCGTTCTACCTGGCCAGGTCCTTCCTCAATCGTCCTCATATCCTCCACCAGGCTATG